CATACTGATATGGAATTATTTTTTTAGATAACTGATCCTCATCTATATAAATAAAAATGGAAATGTTCGTTTGTTCAAAATCGCTAATCTCCGAAAGTTCCATTCGCCTCCGAGCGGATTTTTATATACATATTATATAGATGTCACGTCTGTGGCGGGGAAAAAAAATGTTTTTTTTCTTAAAAACTGTGTTTTTCATGTAAGAGAAATCTTCGTAACCTTTTTACCGATTGCTTTGAAATTTTGACACAGCGTTGCATCTAAACAACTAGTGTTTTTAAACACTTGTTTTAAAAACAAGCTAGTGTTTTTATATACCTACTATATACATGCCTTATCTGTGACAGGAAAAAACATGTTTTTTTTAAACAACGCTATCTGTAATATGTAGGAGTAACACATGCTATAATCTCCAAATGTTCTTCACCGATTGCTTTGAAATTTTGACACAACATTCCATTCGAATACATGCATGTTTTTATATACCTACTGTTTAGATGCCACACCTGTGACCAGTAAAAACATGCTCTTTTTGAAAAACAGCGCCATCTGTTGCCCGTAAGAGCAACACGCGCTATACAAAATATGTTACGATTCCATTTCAAAGTTTCCGATTGCATTAATAAATTGAATTTTCATAGATTTTTATATATTTTCATTTTGATTTAATTATTTTGTGTGACATTGTGTTGGAATTGAGCTGTGTTGTTTACCATACCGTTCATTTCATGGGTATAGTTTATCTGTTTCTTTTTTCATTGTTTTTCATTTCGTTTTTTTAAGTTCTTCTCATTTTTCAGTGCAATTGGTGATGAAATTGAGCTGTGATGATCTGCGTTTTAATTGAAATATTTGTTAGTATTTTGTTTTTTTGTTTTGAAAACAAGAAAATTGCAAGTTTATTTCAGTTGTAAATGTGCCACACACACAGCTATGAATCCACTGGCTACAACGTTAACTGCTTTCTTCACGTTATGTACAAATGATGCGTTTGCGAAACTGCTGAATTCGGAAGTGGCTACGTATTACAAATGGAATGCCAGTAGAAAATCATTTGAACGACACAAACGAGGAGAGCAAGTCGACGGACAACTTGGCATATTCAAATAAACTACGATAGGCAGACTGTACACTGTGCATCCCAATCAAGATTAATACTTCTTTCTTCGCAGGTGTTGGTAAATGTGCCAGGTCCAACGTAGTTCCAGCCATTGAGATTTGTAAACGGCGTAACACATGCCACTTCCCGTAGTGCATGTCAAGCTCTGAATTTATTGGATAACGACCGACACTGGGATGTATGCATTAACATACAAATCAAATTCGTGTATTGTTTGCAATCATAATGACCACCTGCTCTCCATCATCCCCAACAGAGCTATGGGAGAAATATAAATCGCACATGGCTGAAGATATTATCCGTCAAATACGCAAGAAAAATTCAAATACGAATATGAATTACACAGCAAAAATCTACAACGGAGCGTTGATATTGATTTAAGATTTGAACTTAGAAATCGCGAACAAAGTTCCCAATCAATTGGAAATGCTATCACCTGATGCTGCTTTGTTCCACGTAGAATTGCGTCGTGAGCAAAATTACAACACGGGTGATCTCTTGTCGTATGTGCAATCAAATATTCCTAAGCTAATGATTGAGCGAAAAGGCATTTACAATCAAATAATTCCAACTGTCAATAACGGGGTTTGATAAATCATCTCAGATGCGCCAAGACGAACTGGTAAAACCTTCCTAATTAGACTGATTCTGACAGCATTTCGATTCCAAAATGGCAATAGAATAGCTACGACATTGCTACCAGGTGGAAGAACTGCTACTTCGGCTTTGAAACTGATATTGAACATGCAATTCATTGAAACTCCCACGTGCAACATTTCCAAAGCATCCAGCATGGGAAAAGTATTGCAGAAATGTAAACCTATTGTTGGGATGAATGCACAATGGCCCACAAAAAATCGCTTAAGGCTCTTTTTCGATCATTGCAAGATTTGCGTGGAAACATCAGACTATTTGGGAACGCATTAACATTGCTTGCAGGAGATTTCAGGCAAACATTACCTGTAATCCCTCGATCGACACCAGGGGAAGAAAAAAATGCTTGCCTGAAATACTCTACGTTAAGGTGCCACGTAAAGACGTGAAAATTACCTACAAATATGCGTGTCCAGCTGCAAAAGGATCCGTCAGCTGAGATATTCTCCCATAAATTTCTGGAAATTGGGAATGGAATCGTGTTGGTTGATCTGACCTCAGTACGAATTTCATTGCCTCATAACTTTTAAAATTTAGTGAAGTCAAAAGAAGAATTGGCAGAAAAAGTATTTCCCAATATTCAAATCAATTGTAGGAATCACGATTGACTGAATGAATGAGCTGTTCTTGCGGCCAGACAATCTCCATATCACAGCAGACAATGGAACAAAAACAAATATTATATACCCACATGCATTGTGAAATTAAACATTAGAAACGTGCGCTTTCTCTTTTCTTTCTTTTCTATTTAACCTGACTGAGCCACAGGAATGCGTGGCCGACTAAAGAGTCTAAATCTGTACTCCCTTGAGCGCAGGCGGGAGAGATACATAATAATTTACACGTGGAAAATATTAGAGGGGCTGGTCCCAAACCTGCACACAGAAATAACATCACATGAGACCAGAAGACATGGCAGGATGTGCAGAATACCCCCGTTGAAAAGCGGAGGTGCAACAGAACTCTACAATGGTACTCTGAGAACTCTATCAACATCAGAGGCCCGAGACTGTTCAACACGCTTCCGCTACACATAAGGGGCATAACTGGCAATCCCCTCACAGTGTTCTAGAGAGAACTGGATAAGTACCTGATCAACCAGGCTGTGACTCATATGTCAGGCTGCGAGCAGCCGCGTCCAACAGCCTGGTTGATCAGTCCACCTGGTCGACGACCGGGCCGCGGGGACGCTAAGCCCCGGAAGCACCTCAAGGTAGGTAACCTCAGTAAGCTAGTTTTAAATAAACTAGCCGACTGCTAGTACTAGCCGAGTACAGCTAGTTTTAAGTAAACCCATAGCTAGCCATCGTAACCGAAATTACCGTAATCTTTTGTTTCAATATCAATATAATGAATTATATCAAATGAATATTAGGAAAAATATCTATCGATTCATTACAACTGAATGAATGAACAACTGAATGAAAAAAATTGTAAACATTTATAAAGCCATGTTGTGAATCATTCACTAATCCATGTTTCTCAAGATGAAGACGAATGGTACACACAGTAACCACAATAGCGTGATATATCTGTTACGAACCCGATTCCATCGTCGGAGCATGGAGCAGCGACGTCAATGCCACAAAGTCCGCTCCTGAAACCCCTACAAATTGGACGACGCCATCTAGTGGTGACAGGATTATACCAGCAAGAGGCGCTAGATTCCTGTCCTAGTCAGCTCGAGAGGTAGCTGGTGCTGACCTCTGGTGAGGTGGCGCCTAGAAAATCAGTGCCATCTATTATAGGAGGAGGAGTTGTATGTCTATGTCAGAGTACGTAAGTGACGTTTCATAGTGTCCCATGTACTGATGACGTGTCTGTATCCACAGAGTCGACGTAGGGCTGCTGTGGTACGAGGACAGTCAGTCTTCCCAGCACAGCCAATAGCTCTCTACTCCATTCTGCTTTACGGAAGCAGTGAGCCGCCGCCGGAGAAAAACTGTGTAGTGTTCTACTGTCGGCCTGTGAAGTGGCAGTGACAGAATTCGGCGTACCCGGGACTGGCTAGCGGAAGAGACGACTGACAGTAAGGTGCCAGCGAGTTGCAAGAAGCTCCTGCCAGGGGTTTGGTACCCTTGTTATTGTACGTGAAGAGCTGGCTGATGTTCTCTGCCAGCTCCAGGCTGAAGAGTGATTGTGGGCGTGCACGAAGAGCACCATATGAGACTGTGTTTTGACTGTAGACCAACGAGTCTACCCTGTGGCCAGGGTAGCCAGGTTGGTGTTTCCTAGTACTGGTTGAGGACGGTACTGGAAACTCAGGACGGTCGAGGAAACACGGTTGCTGACAAGCAACCGTGCCTCGAAGCTCAACCGAAACATCGATTGAGCTTCGAGGAGCGTTTAGTGTCCTATGAGAGAGACACTGGTGTACATATTAAGTGTAGTAATACTTCCTTTAGGATTATATATGAGGTGATGGGAAAGTGATTATATAAGAGATAATTGATGAACTGTCGTATTCAATGCACCTCCCCCATTGTGTTTTACTTGCATTACCGAGCTCACTCCTTGAAAGCCACTCTTAACTTGGGGCGGGATACGAGAACTTTAGTTCCACCAGCAAAGAACCCGGTTGCGATGTAACAATATTAAATGAACCAATCCACAAGGGATGTGATGAGGATTCAAGGGCCAGGGTGATCCCAGACATGCCTTAGTCAACGTACAAAGTCCTGTGACGTACACAGGACAACAAAGAAGTTAGTGAAATTCTAAGTAGTCAGTATGAGGCTGTTTAGCACACTAATAAACAACATGAATGTTGATGATCCAAACAGCTTCTTTATGAATGACATTCAAGCTGCAGATAATATAACGGATATTAACACGAACTCGGAAGACTGAAAGAGAAATTGACAATATGCCCATGCACTCAGCTCCTGGGACGGACTCGTGGAATTCAATATTCATTAAAAAATTTTAAGCGCAGGCGGTCAGCATAATATGGACAAAGAGCCTATATACAGGGGAGATACCATCTGCTGCATCAATCAGCAGATATAGCTGATTTATATATAACGATATAGCACAAGGGGGGGGGGGGTAGTAAGGCCTTGGCAAAAAATTATAGACCAGTTGCACTAACATCTCGCATAATAAAAGTTTTTGAAAGAGTGATTAGGAATCAACTTTCTAGTTTTATGGAAAATAATGAACTACACAACCCAGGACACCATGGATTTAGAGCGGGAAGATACTGTCTGTCACAGTTACTTAACCACTATGGCAAAATCCCAGAAGCTCTGGAAGAAAAGCAAAATGCAGATGTAGTATACACAGATTTTGCAAAGGCATTCGACAAATGTCGGCAAATCATGGGGTGATAGCAAACAAAATGAGGTCAATGGGAATAATTGGTAAAGTAGAACGCTGGATACTCAATTTCCTGTTGAACAGAACACAGCGAGTAACAGTCAACCAAATAAAATCGAGCCCAAGCGCAGTTAAAAGCTCAGCACCTCAAGTACAGTCCTTGCACCACTGCTTTTCCTTATTCTCATATCAGATATAGACAAAAATACATGTCACAGCTTCGTGTCATACGTTGCAGATGACACGAAAATCAGTATGAAAATTACATCTATAGAAGACATTGGAAAAACTACAAGTAGATATCAACAAAGTTTTCGAAATAAATAAAATAACATGATGTTTAACAATGATGAATTCCAGCTACGGCAAAAATGAGGATCTGAAACATAATACAGGGTACAAAACACAACCGAATCTGCCCATAGTATGTGAAGGGAATCTGCCCATAGCATGTGAAGGATCAATTTATCAATAAATCTGAAACATTGAAATGGAATCGTCCAACAGATTGAACCGATTAAAATAAAAAAAAAACATGTTTTTTCCTGTCACAGTTAAGGGATGTATATAATAGGTATATAAAAACACGCGCCTATATCAATACAGCGTTGTCAAAATTTCAAAGCAATCGGCAAAGAGGTTTCAAAGATTTCCCTCGTATGAAAAATATATTTTTTTCATGTGTATGCCACAGGTGAGGGATGTACATATTAGGTATATAAAATCACTCGCCTATTCGAATGCAATTTACGGGCTCAAAATAGCCCGTGCTATATGGATACGTTAAATCTATATGGAAACGTGGCTAAATCTAAAACAACATCGAATGCAATGTTGTGTCATGGAAAAAACATACTAGTTCAGCTAAAATTCAGGCTTGTTCGTACTTATATATGTTCGCACAAACATCCACGCGATAGTGCTATATAGTAACTGCTAGGATCATGTTAGGCTACAGTTAGTTGGCGCAAGTGACGAGTCCGAATATTGTGTAACTCTGAATAGAAACTGGGGTCATACTCCACCAGTACATGAATCCCCAGACTCATGTCATCCCCAGACTTGAATAAATGTTTTACATAATGGCATAACGGCAAGTGTTTTACATAATGTAATATGTCATCTCACCTTACAATGTCCTCCTCCTGAAGAATGCGCATATTTTCTAGATGTGAACCATCTGGGTCCTTCGTGATGTGATCACCTTGGTATTCTCTCATTGACTGGAAGAGTGACCGCAAGTTCTCCTTGCGATACTTCAGTTGACACCACTGTGAAAAAATTTACAAGTATTTAAGGGTTAGTGCATTATTGATTTGTGCATCTTTAATAATTACAATACTTATTCTTCATTTAAAATTCATGATATAAAATTTTAGATAATTCGTGTCAATCTGTAATTTATAATGGATACAAGTTCAGCATCTAGGTTGTCTGTCGAACCCTTGATGCTGGCTCTTTGCATTTTAAAGCTGCGACGTGCTTTATCACTGATATCAGACTAATTGGTTGTAGTTCAAACCTGTGCTGCATCATGATTAGGCACTGTTTCAATATATCATATACAGAATCTTTTAGCATATCTTAAAAAAAAGTTCATTCCACAAATTTAAATTTTCCTAGAGAATAAAAGATTATTAAACGTCAAATTTCGAACGCTTTATCTGATATAACTAAGTTGATATTTTTCATAAATGATTTATCTGATATAATTAAGTTGATATTTAGTATCAATACCTTTTCATCCCAACGATAGATTTTCCATAAATCACGAATGTTTAATTCAGGGCAGACCTCTTCCTTCCTATAAAAGGCTATAAATGGAATTTCGAAGGTTTGGTTCCTCATCAAGTCCAGGGCGTTGTATATTTTCTGGATAGTATTAGTATCCTTGTGCGAGCCATGCCTTGCCTTTTCACGCCCCTCCTGTACAAAATAATAGTATTGTTGTATAATTTATTGCCGACGACTTTGTGGTCATCATCAATGGCAAAGACGCCATGAACAATACACAAAAATGCCTAGAGATAATCAACAGGGAAGCGGAACGCATAGCACTGAAAATAAACAGCAATAATACCAAAACAATGGCCGTTAAAATGACAATTCACGACAACAGATTCGCAATACAAGGCCACGAAATTGAGTTGGTTACCTCTTTTTAATACCTTGGAGTCATAATGGACAACCAGTTGAAATTCATTCGAGAAATTGAATATCTTCTGCATCGAAAAAGAGCCATCGCTGAACACTCAGCTGTGTTCTTCCTGACAAGTCTTAGAGATAGTGCATTTTTGCTAGTACTCAAAATGGACTACGTTTTTGCAGGCAGTTAAGTCACTCATTGGCTATGCTGCTCCAGCTCTTACATTACAACTCCACCTCAGTGATGGGAGAACCTATATGGACACGTCGAGAGAATCTAAGAATGGAAACCAACTTACCAGCGTTAGAAAACAGGATCAAAGAATAGCCATCATAACAGCAAAAATTTTTGGAATCACCGCCAGACAGTCAATCAAAGAGAGCTTTCACAGAACGCTACAGAGAAACCTTCAATATAGAACAAGTGAATGGACGGATAATCTGATCTCTACAGAAAGTGGACCTGAAAGATTCCAAAAAAAAGGACTAATAAAAACAAAAGAGATGATAAACCATATTAACACATTCGGCAGCTTCCATGGTAAAAATCTAGTCTAGATAATCATTGAAGGATAATCAGTTAAAACATCAGCATGGGACTCTCAGACCCTCAAAGCAGTTATAGAACAAAAATGGAAATTATCTCAAGACCAAACACCACTTTCATCTTCACAGATGGATCAGTTGATCAAGAAAGAGATATGCTGGGGCAGCAGTTCACACTAACAACCATGAAGCTTTCAGAAGCATCATGGTTGCATTGCATCATGGTTATATGCCCTGAAGAAGGCCAGAAATTATGCAATTGCGAATAATTTACATGATGTCAGCATTCATATCGAATCTAAATCTTCGTTCCAGGCATTGTTATCCATCAGAGATAATATACAACTTATCACTGAAATCCTACATAAAGGAAAAGAAGCACACAATCTAGGACTGTCAATCAGTCACATTGGAATAGATGGTAATGAAAGGCAGACTAACTAGCAGAAACTGCCACGGCTCTACCTGCTGTACAGGTTCAAATACCACCAAGTTTTTCACAGATTAAGGATCAAATCAAGAAGAAATACTCCCAACTATCAAAAGTCGCCACAGAGCGACTTTTACATAGAGCCGAAGTACCGGAAGGAAGACCCACTGCGATGCGGTACGGACAGCCACTGGGTACCAAAAAGTTATCCAGAGACATTGCAGTAGCCATACACAGGCTCAGACTTGGTTAAAAGTGCTGCTGGGAGGTAATAAACTCAACAGTTAGTGTCATATCTGTAGAACAGGTGCCACTATTGCATTATGTATTGGAATTTGAAGGAACTTTAGCCCTGCGCATCAAATTGAGAAGAAATACATGTATATTCTTATTATTTATACTTTTCAACAAAAGCAAATTAACTACCTGATTGGATATAAATGGCCTGAAGAATGCATGGTGATAAATCCACTTGGCTTCTTGAGTCAGCTCTTTATCTGCTGAGCGATCGTCACCATCTCCACGGGTGCGAGTCACAGGTATCCGCCTCAGCTGGAATCTCTCGGGAATATCCAGCTTCCGGATTTGATGATCTTGGTCAGTCAAATGGCCTCGCTCTAATTCACTAGGTTCAAATACCTGAAAGAATAGCATTTATATTTGTATGCGTAATTAATGTTGCCACACACTCATTAACTTGATCTTTATCACCACCACCAACATTTTGTCTCCTACTTTCATGATGTAGGTCGGGTTGAGATTAAATGCCTCAAGCCAGGTACGACAACCGCCTATGATATTCAGCAGCACTTTTCCCTAGTTCATGATCTAAAACTAATTTATATCCAGGTGCCCAAATTACTACTGAGACAGGTTAAATAATATTTGCTGCCTCCCTGCCCGAAAATCTTCTTGCAGGAGGTAAGTATTCTCATTATACCAAACAAGTAGAATATAGAACTGTTTTGTTTTTGAAGATGAGAATGATTTACAGGTCACCATATCTTTCACATCAAGCAAGTCTTTCGCTTCAAGCCTTTTAGAAGGTGAGCAAGTACACTCACCTTTTACATTGAGTGTACTGCGTCTTGTAACTTAACGTAAACAAGATTTAAACATTTTGGCCCTCAATAAACTGCATCTTTTTTCCCGACCACGAAATTCTTGCTCCATCACACTCACATGTAGTATGTAATATCTTGACCTTCTTGCCCTCAAATTAGCCAAAATAATCTTCGCTCTAATTTTATGTACAATGAACTGACCCACATCGACGCACTCTTCCTTCACTCTTAATTCATATCTTTTATTCATAACTTCCCACATTGTCTTTATTAACATATTCTACACAAACAACAGCCTCTCTCTGGCCGTTGTGAAAATATAAATGCCTTCCTTAATGATAATTACACAATGAGTGAAAAATCTTGTGGCTTGCAGTTGCTCCTCATAACATACCTCAAAGATAGTCTTCTTGACTTGATTCCCGCGATCCTTGCGACCTCGGGGATGCTCTCGTCCCTCATCGCCTTTTTCATCGTTCTCATGGTCATCATCATCATTTTCACGCTCCTCCCATTCTTTTTTGAATACAAAAAACATGAATATTACAACATAAGAAATTAGAGGGTAAACATTTAAGATCCTGCATGCAAGTACCGAATTTGTTATTAAATTAAAGAAAACTTTTTAAACTTCTAGTCAATATTATGAATATTTTTGTTGGGCAGCAAAATCTCCCATTGAGTGAAAATGCAAGGCACAACGACGCTGATGGTTGAAATGTAGGTTTGATTGTCCACATAAAAGTTTTTTCAAATTGTTTTTCCAACTTAGAGAGAGTGAGAGAGAGAGAAAGAGAGAGAGAGAGAGAGAGAGAGAGAGAGAGAGAGAGAGAGAGAGAGAGAGAGAGAGAGAGAGAGAGAGAGAGAGAGAGAGAGAGAGAGAGAGAGAGAGAGAGAGAGAGAGAGAGAGAGAGAGAGAGAGAGAGAGAGAGAGAGAGAGAGAGAGAGAGAGAGAGAGAGAGAGAGAGAGAGAGAGAGAGAGAGAGAGAGAGAGAGAGAGAGAGAGAGAGAGAGAGAGAGAGAGAGAGAGAGAGAGAGCAAACTGCAATAATAAAATACACAAAATATAATGTCAAAATAAAATGTCTCTCCAATCCTGGAGTGATAACAGGAAGAAGGAAAACTTCTCAGATTGTACATCTGAGAAGTGAGAATAGTGTGACATACCTAGTCTGCCATATTTCAATTAAATCTGCAATTTAATTTACATTTAAATTTGACAAAACACATACCATCATGTTGTTCAAACTCCTCAAAATGATAATCACCGCCGAATATTTCACGGGCAACCTTCATTCCACCAGGTTCAAGCATAGCCATCCTCTCCTGTTTGACATTGGGTGTCTTGTCATCAACAATGAAATTATCTTCATCAGACTCTTCCTCCTCTGACGCGTACATTTCAGGGTGCTGTGGAGGGTGGACAGCGGAGGCCCCATCCTCCTCCTCATCCTGTGGTACCAGATATTAAAGTTATGAATGACAGACGAAGGAAACAGAATCAAACGACTAATAATATTTAAGCAATAACGAAATATCTCTCATTAAAGTGTCAATTATGCAGGTAAGAAGGATAGACTAAAAGGCACACTCGAACTATTTTACTGTATTCAAAATTTCTAACCCACTAGAGCAGAACAAAGAAGAATGACCGAGAGATAGCATCACACACAGTGTCTCATAATAAACATCACACACTACAAACGACATGGAAGAGCTAAGGGAGACATGATCATCACATACAAAATTCTCAGGAGAACCGACAGGGTAGACCAGGTGGATTATTTAACATGTGATGAATACGCATAAGAGGATACAGGGGGAAGCTGCGTATCCAAATAAGCGACAGAAACATTAGAAAAAACTCTTACAGTGTCAGAGTAGTTAGTAAATGAAAATAATGTGGTGGAGGCTAACTCCACAGTTTTAAATGCAGTTATGATAGAGCTCGAGGATCTTAGGAAGCAGTGCTCGAGAAACACTGGGATTAATAGTTGAGTGGCGGGACCAAAGAGCCGAAGCTTAATCCCCTCCAACACAACTAGGGTAAGGTGAGTACACAGGATACCTCTTAATAAACATCGTCAGAAAACGAACAATTTATAAACACTGCCTATGCATATAAAGTGGCACTGAATACAACATAAACTCCAGAGATTTACTTACGTCTGAACCCTCGAAGATCTCTCTTCGAATCTGACCCTGCACATCTTCCTCTTCTACGTCAGATTCTTCATCCACAATCCTCTTCAAACGCTTATACTTTCTCTGTGAAACAAAAATTCAAGACATATATACATTAATTCATAAACAAAAAATTGTCATGAAGACAATCTATAGTACTATGCTAGTATTATAGTTCTTATTTAGTATGTTAGTATCTTAGTATATTTAGTATCTTGTTTAGAGATTTAGTATGTTACACGCTCACGAAACCATTCAAATGATTCAAGGGTTTGGTTATTCCTTAGATAATCTTATGAGACTTACTTAGGTTATCATTGTAGCACAACCTCCAAGTCAGTGAGGCAGCCAATATTATGGAGCAGCCAAATGTTTAAAAGTACAACTTTTTTTATATATATTGGTCAACCCGTTTTTAAAATATACATTTTTTAAAATTTATTTAAATCTAGTAAAATCTTGAATTTACAAGACAGCAGAATTGGTTTTTGCTATAATTGGAATCAGCATATATTTCTAGGAAAATTTAATCAAAATTTTGACTAAAATTTTACCATAAAAATTATATAATTGTCCAAAACTTATTTTTAAAACATTCACTCTGAAAAATACTGTATACTGTGTATTATATAAATACACTTTTATATAATTGAAATATAAATATATTAAATATATTAGATATATATCAGAAATTAATCTTAAATTATATTTCTCTACTTATATATATGCCAGCAGAAGCAATAATGGTTTCCCAATTTTGTTTCTAATTCATCTAAACGGTGTGAAATTCAAGTTCTTTTCATTCTTTAAAACACAAAAATGCAAATTATTTTTTTCTATCCTGTACAGAAACTTGTATAAATATAAACAAAATATATATTACAATAATTATTGGAGAAAACTAACCTTTCTGTCAAGTTTCATACCAGTGTTCTCCTCAATAAGATCAATATCATCATCATCGAGGTAGTTTGTTTTATCTTCATCGTCCTTCCGCCGTTTTCGTTTGCCATACTTTTCACTGTCTGACCCCGAACCTCCTTCATCATCCTCTTCATCGTCGTCGTTAATGAAGTCTTTATTTTCTTCACGAATTTTCTCTTCATCTATCAATAAATAACCAGAGATGAATGCGATGAAAGTTCTTTAGTCTTATTGTATTGTTCTTATTAGTTTTACTTAGTTTAGTTCATTTATTATGCAGCCCATAATATAGATTACAGAGACACATAATGGGCTTAAGGAATTAACCCCACAGTTCATTTAGCTAAGCAAGTTAAAATATTGATGAGATAGTTCAAAAATTCAACAGGCTCCAGAACGACCACCTTTGCAGTTTTTAAATTAAGCAACTGACATTTCTGACAACTGACAACTCCCTTCATTTCTTGAAGTTTTGAAGGTCTGGCATATTTCAAAAGGCTTTATGGTATAATAACTTGGAAGCACAGAAGCAAGGCTTTAGGATATAATAACTTGGAAGCACAGAAGCAAGGCTTTATGATATAATAACTTGGAAGCACAGAAGCAAGGCTTTATGGTATAATAACTTGGAAGCACAGAAGCAAGGCCATATGGTATAATAACAGTAATGTGATTGATGTCAAGTCACCTAGTTTCATTTTCAACACTTAATAACAACTAAGGTATAAAACGTAGTATTTTTAATAAATATTTTATATCTGTATTTACTAAAGAGGAACTTGACGATATGCATTCAGCCGAACAAGTCTATGTGGGTGGGGACGAGGACAGGTTGACTAGTTTAGCAGTTACCAGGGAGGTTGTAATTAAACAGATAGTAAAACTCAAACCAAACAAATCCCCAAGGCCGGATGAAGTGTTTGCCAGGGTGCTTAAAGAATGCAAAGAGGAACTTCGCGACCCACTGTCTACCATATTTAATAAATCAATAGAGTCAGGAAGAGTGCCAGAGTTTTGGAAAGTTGCTAATGTGATACCAGTTTTTAAGAAAGGAGATAGATCACTTGCGTCAAACTATCGGCCAATTTGCCTAACGTCTATTGTGGGAAAGTTACTCGAATCGATAATTGCAAATAAAATTCGTCTTCATCTTGAAAAACATAAATTAATAATTGAGTGGCAAATGTTTTTATAAATGGCCGTTCATGCTTAACAAATTTGTTATCTTTTTATTCTAGCATAGTTGAGGCAGTTGATAGTGGTAAGGACTGTGATGTTGTGTACCTTGACTTTAGCAAAGCTTTTGATACAGTGCCACATGAAAGACTGATTAAAAAGATAGAGGCTCATGGTATTGGGGGTCCTATATTAAGTTGGATTAGGGCATGGCTATACCAAAGGAAACAGAGTTAGTATAAATGTGGGTTAAGTCAGAGTGGGATAATGTTGTTAGTGGAGTGCCTCAAGGCTCTGTCCTGGGACCTCTGATGTTTATAATATATATAAATGATTTAGATTAAGGTTTGAGTAGCAACATCTGCAAATTTGCCGATGATACAAAAATCGGTAGGGTAGGTAGGGAAATTAATACGGAAGAAGACTCACTATCACTTCAAGTTGATCTAAATAGGGTTTTGAAATGGTCAAAGGATTGTCAGAAGCAGTTTAATGCTGATAAATGTAAAGTTCTGAGTCTAGGTAATGATGGTAGAGTTACAAGATACGAGCTTGATGGTGTTGATATTGCGAAGTCGGATTGCGAAAGAGATCTGGGAGTTATTATTAGTAAGAATTTAAAACAAAAGTATAAATGCATGAATGTTCGTAATAAGGCAAATAGGCCATTGGGATTTATTAATCGAATCTTTAGTAACAAGACACCTGGTGTGGTTCTTCAGCAATATCTTGCTCCGGTTAGGCCCCACTTAGATTATGCAGTTTAGTTTTGGTCGCCGTATTATAGAATGGATATAAATTCACTTGAACGTGTCCAGCGTAGGATGACTAAGTTAATTCCCCAAATTAGAAATCTTTCATATGAAGAAAGATTAACAAAGCTTAAATTGCATTCACTGGAAAGGCGAAGAGTTAGGGGGTGACATGATAAAGGTTTACAAGTGGATGAATGGACACAACAAAGTAGATATTAATAGGGCATTAAAAGTAGCAACACAAGACAGAACACAAAACATTGGGTATATATTAGATAAATTTAGATTTAGAAAAGACTTGGGTAAATACTGGTTCGGTAACAGGGTTGTTGATTTGTGGAACCAATTACCGCGTAATGTGGTGGAGGTGGGGTCCCTCGATTGTTTCATGGACATGTATAAGTGGGCTTGGGTGGTTATAGATAGGAGCTTCCTCGTATGAGCCAATAGGCTTTCTGCAGTTGCCTTTGTTCTTAACTACGTCTCGTTAAAAATGACAAATATATCAGAACATTAACAATACATTTATATCAAATTATTTAAGATTGCTGAAAGCAGATTGCTGAAATAGAGGGATTTCAGAGAACATATACGGCATAAATAAACGAGATAAAGCACCTAAATTATTGGGATACGTCCTAATAATTCATTGACAAAGTGATCTTAATGCTCTCCAAATGTACTCGATAGAAAGAGAAAGGAGAGATATCAAATGATATACACGTGGAAAATACTGGAGGCCCAGGTCCCAAATCTACACAGTAAATGACATACTGGAGTAATTGACATGGAAGAAAATGCAGAATACAACCAATGAGGAACAGGGGGGCCATGAGCATAACCAGAAACCACTGAACTGAATAAACATGAGAGGTCCACGGTTGTTCAACAACCTCACAGCCATAATATTGACGGATATTTTTTAAAGATAAAACTAGATAGTTTTCTTCAAGAAGTGTTGGACTATGGTGGATATGTGGTACGCTCCAAGCAACAGACCGTTGGACCAAGCTCTCAAAATTCAATCATGGCCTCAGGCCGGGTTTGAGGAGTAGAAATTCTAGAACCTCATCAGGTATGGATGAAACAAATTCATAGTATATATACAAAGTCTTGGAATCAATGAGAACGTTCACATTCACATTTAGCACCGCTCCTGTGCCAGGAAAGTCCACTACGGGCTCACCATAGCCCGTGCTACTTGCCCCGCTTCTGTGCTAGGTAAGTTACCGGCTCACCATAGCCCGTGCTACTTAGAACTTGTTCCGAGTAGCTGAATCTATAACAACAACAACAACAACAGCATTGAGAACTTTTGCATCACTTACCATCGTCATCATCCTCTTCAGAAGAATCATCTATAACTGTTTTTAGTTTTTTCAATTTTTTCCTTTCATTTTCTTCATATTCTTCTTGCTCTTCTTCACTTTCCTCTGCTTCTGAGTAAATGAACTGGGACATGATTGGTGGTCTCTCTCTCTAAAGTCCTGAAGATACAAGAATATTAAATTAATAGCTTTAATTTTGTTCTTATCAAATCTAACATACTGATATGGAAGTTTTTTTTAGATAACTGATCCTCATCTATATAAATAAAAATGGAAATGTTCGTTTGTTCAAAATCGCTAATCTCCGAAAGTTCCATTCGCCTCCGAGCGGATTTTTATATACATATTATATAGATGTCACGTCTGTGGCAGGAAAAAAAATGTTTTTTTTTTTCTTAAAAACTGTGTTTTTCATGTAAGAGAAATCTTCGTAACCTTTTTACCGATTGCTTTGAAATTTTGACACAACGTTGCATTTAAACAGGCTAGTGTTTTTATCTGTGACAGGAAAAAAACATGTTTTTTTTTAAACAACGCTATCTGTAATATGTAGGAGCAACACATGCTGTAATCTCCATATGTTCTTCACCGATTGCTTTGAAATTTTGACACAACATTCCATTCGAATACATGCATGTTTTTATATACCTACTGTTAAGATGCCACACATGTGACCTGTAAAAACATGCTCTTTTTGAAAAACAGCGCCATCTGTTGCACGTAAGAGCAACACGCGCTATACAAAATATGTTACGATTCCATTTCAATGTTTCCGATTGCATTAATAAATTGAATTTTCATAGATTTTTATATATTTTCATTTTGATTTAATTATTTTGTGTGACATTGCGTTGGAATTGAGCTGTGTTGTTTACCATACCGTTCATTTCATATAGTTTATCTGTAGATATAGTTTATCTGTTTCTTTTTTCATTGTTTTTCATTTCGTTTTTTTAAGTTCTTCTCATTTTTCAGTGCAATTGGTGATGAAATTGAGCTGTGATGATTGATCTGCGTTTTAATTGAAATATTTGTTAGTATTTTGTGTTTTTGTTTTGAAAACAAGAAAATTACAAGTTTATTTCACAGTTGCAAATGTGCAACACACACAGCTATGAATCCACTGGCTACAACGTTAACTGCTTTCTTCACGTTATGTACAAATGATGCGTTTGCGAAACTGCTGAATTCGGAAGTGGCTACGCATTACAAATGGAATGCCAGTAGAAAATCATTTGAATGACACAAACGAGGAGGAGAGCAAGTCGACGGACAACTTGGCATATTCAAATAAACTACGATAGGCAGACTGTACACTGTGCATCCCAATCAAGATTAATACTTCTTTCTTCGCAGGTGTTGGTAAATGTGCCAGGTCCAACGTAGTTCCAGCCATTGAGATTTGTAAACGGCATAACACATGCCACTTCCCGTAGTGCATGTCAAGCTCTGAATTTATTGGATAACGACCGACACTGGGATGTATGCATTAACATACAAATCAAATTCGTGTATTGTTTGCAATCATAATGACCACCTGCTCCCCTTCATCCCCCAACAGAGCTATGGGAGAAATATAAATCGCACATGGCTGAAGATATTATCCGTCAAATACGCAAGAAAAATTCAAATACGAACATGAATTACACAGCAAAAATCTACAATGGAGCGTTGATAGTGATTTAAGATTTGAACTTAGAAATCGCAAACAAAGTTCCCAATCAATTGGAAATGCTATAACCTGATGCTGCTTTGTTCCACGTAGAATTGCGTTGTGAGCAAAATTACAACACGGGTGATCTCTTGTCGTATGTGCAATCAAATATTCCTAAGCTAATGCTTGAGCGAAAAGGCATTTACAATCAAATAATTCCAACTGTCAATAACGGGGTTTGATAAATCATCTCAGATGCGCCAGGACGAACTGGTAAAACGTTCCTAATTAGACTGATTCTGACAGCATTTCGATTCCAAAATGGCAATAGAATAGCTACGACATTGCTACCAGGTGGAAGAACTGCTACTTCGGCTTTGAAACTGCCATGGAACATGCAATTCATTGAAACTCCCACGTGCAACATTTCCAAAGCATCCAGCATGGGAAAAGTATTGCAGAAATGTAAACCATTTGTTGGGATGAATGCACAATGGCCCACAAAAAATCGCTTAAGGCTCTTTTTCGATCATTGCAAGATTTGCGTGGAAACATCAGACCATTTGGGAACGCATTAACATTGCTTGCAGGAGATTTCAGACAAACATTACCTGTAATCCCTCGATCGACACCAGGGGAAGAAAAAAATGCTTGCCTGAAATACTCTACGTTAAGGTGCCACGTAAAGACGTGAAAATTACCTACAAATATGCGTGTCCAGCTGCAAAAGGATCCATCAGCTGAGATATTCTCCCATAAACTTCTGGAAATTGGGAATGGAATCGTGTTGGTTGATCTGACCTCAGGACGAATTTCATTGCCTCATAACTTTTAAAATTTAGTGAAGTCAAAAGAATAATTGGCAGAAAAAGTATTTCCCAATATTCAAATCAATTGTAGGAATCACGATTGACTGAATGAATGAGCTGTTCTTGCGGCCAGACAATCTCCATATCACAACAGACAATGGAACAAAAACAAATATTATATACCCACATGCATTGTGAAATTAAACATTAGAAACGTGTGCTTTCTCTTTTCTTTCTTTTCTATTTAACCTGACTGAGCCACAGGAATGCGTGGCCGACTAAAGAGTCTAAATCTGTACTCCCTTGAGCGCAGGCGGGAGAGATACATAATAATTTACACGTGGAAAATATTAGAGGGGCTGGTCCCAAACCTGCACACAGAAATAACATCACATGAGACCAGAAGACATGGCAGGATGTGCAGAATACCCCCGTTGAAAAGCGGAGGTGCAACAGGTACTCTGAGAGAGAACTCTATCAACATCAGAGGCCCGAGACTGTTCAACACGCTTCCGCTACACATAAGGGGCATAACTGGCAATCCTCTCAGTGTTCTAGAGAGACCTGGATAAGTATCTCCAAAGGATACCTGATCAACCAGGCTGTGACTCATACGTCAGGCTGCTAGCAGCCGCGTCCAACAGCCTGGTTGATCAGTCCACCTGGTCGACGACCGGGCCGCGGGGACGCTAAGCCCCGGAAGCACCTCAAGGTAGGTAACCTCAGTCAGCTAGTTTTAAATAAACTAGCCGACTGCTAGTACTAGCCGAGTACAGCTAGTTTTAAATAAACCCATAGCTAGCCATCGTAACCGAAATTACCGTAATCTTTTGTTTCAATATCAATATAATGAATTATATCAAATGAATATTAGGAAAAATATCTATCGATTCATTGCAACTGATTGAATGAAAAAAATTGTAAACATTTATAAAGCCATGTTGTGAATCATTCACTAATCCACGTTTCTCAAGATGAAGACGAATGGTACACACAGTAACCACAATAGCGTGATATATCTGTTACGAACCCGATTCCATCGTCGGAGCATGGAGCAGCGACGTCAATGCCACAAAGTCTGCTCCTGAAACCCCCACAAATTGGACGACGCCATCTAGTGGTGACAGGATTATACCAGCAAGAGGCGCTAGATTCCTGTCCTAGTCAGCTCGAGAGGTAGCTGGTGCTGACCTCTGGTGAGGTGGCGCCTAGAAAATCAGTGCCATCTATTATAGGAGGAGGAGTTGTATGTCTATGTCAGAGTACGTAAGTGACGTTTCCTAGTGTCCCATGTACTGATGACGTGTCTGTATCCGCAGAGTCGACGTAGGGCTGCTGTGGTACGAGGACAGTCAGTCTTCCCAGCACAGCCAATAGCTCTCTACTCCATTCTGCTTTACGGAAGCAGTGAGCCGCCGCCGGAGAAAAACTGTGTAGTGTTCTACTGTCGGCCTGTGAAGTGGCAGTGACAGAATTCGGCGTACCCGGGACTGGCTAGCGGAAGAGACGACTGACAGTAAGGTGCCAGCGAGTTGCAAGAAGCTCCTGCCAGGGGTTTGGTACCCTTGTAATTGTACGTGAAGAGGCCCAGCAGCGTGAGGCTGATGTTCTCTGCCAGCTCCAGGCTGAAGAGTGATTGTGGGCGTGCACGAAGAGTACCATGTGAGACTGTGTTTTGACTGTAGACCAACGAGTCTACCCTGTGGCCAGGGTAGACTCGTTGGTGTTTCCCAGTACTGGTTGAGGACGGTACTGGAAACTCAGGTCGAGGAAACACGGTTGCTGACAAGACTGCATCGATTGAGCTTCGAGGAGCGTTTAGTGTCCTATGAGATAGACACTGGTGTATATATTAAGTGTAGTAATACTTCCTTTAGGATTATATATGAGGTGATGGGAAGTGATTATATAAGAGATAATTGATGAACTGTCGTATTCAATGCACCTCTCCCATTGTGTTTTACTTGCATTACCGAGCTCACTCCTTGAAAGCCACTACTAACTTGGGGCCGGATACGAGAATTTTAGTTCCACCAGCAAAGAACCCGGTTGCGACGTAACGATATCGACGTAACGACAAGGGCCGTGATGAGGGTTCAAGGGCCGGGGTGATCCCAGACACGCCTTAGTCAACATTGTGTGTGGAATTGTGACGTACACAGGACAACAAAGAAATTAGTGAAATTCTAAGAAGCCAGTATGAGGCTGTTTAGCACACCAATAAACAACATGAATATTGATGATCCAGACAGCTTCTTTATGAATGACATTCAAGCTGCAGATAATATAACGGATATTAACACGAACTCGGAAGACTGAAAGAGAAATTGACAATATGCCCATGCACTCAGCTCCTGGGACGGACTCGTGGAATTCAATATTCATTAAAAAAATTTAAGCGCGAGCGGTCAGCATAATATGGACAAAGAGCCTATATACAGGGGAGATACCATCTGCTGCATCAATCAGCAGATATAGCTGATTTAGAAATAACGATATAGCACAAGAGGGGGGGGGGGTAGTAAGGCCTTGGCAAAAAATTATAGACCAGTTGCACTAACATCTCGCATAATAAAAGTTTTTGAAAGAGTGATTAGGAATCAACTTTCTAGTTTTATGGAAAATAATGAACTACACAACCCAAAATGCAGATGTAGTATACACAGATTT